TGGAAATCCGTAAATCTGTATATTTGCAAGCGGTTGAATAAAAGTTTTATAATTTTATACTGGACACCACAAAAACGTGCTGGTAATGACCACAAATGTTCACAAGTGTAAATTTTTCGCCACTGGTGGTTGGTTAGCAGCAACAAGGACACTTGAGGCGTATATTTTACTCTCTTTTCTTATTGCAAATGAATAATTCAAATGAAAAAATACTAAAGCAATTTGATGGTGATTTTGGTTTGGCATCAGGGATAACCGTAAAATAAAAAAAATATTTCGGTGATATATATATATATAACAAAGGGTTCGACCATTGAAGATTTAAAATAAATCAGTCGACAGAGAATATGCTCCGAAGTTGCATCATCCTGGAGACAAAAACAAAATATTCCGAGGAATTGATAACCTTCACTTTTTTAACCGACTCCAAAAAAGGAGAAGGTTATCAATTCGTCGGAATATTTTTGTATGTGTTTTACCGCATAACTTTGGACCACGGCAACTGATTTCGATAGTTCTTTTTCTATCAGAAAGGCGGTACATCAAGGGTGGTCACATACTACCTTTTGTTAGGTACGATCATTGGATCATAAAGAAGTTAATGGTACTCCTAAATTTGTATATGAAAATTGAAGTCGATTTTGTTTTTTGCTTAAAAATTACTTGTTTGGAAGTCGGTTAAAAAATTAAAAAGAAAAATTCAAATAAATAAATAATTATTTTTTTTCTTTAACACTGATATAAATTTCAAATCGACTAACTGCGATAAAAGTTATCATTAATTGCGTTCAGTAAAAGCAAAAAAAAATAAAATCGGACCCCTGTGACTTGACAACCCGTCATATCGCTAGCGTAGAGTGAAATGTTGCTAAGTCCACTTTTTATGAACAATTAGTTTTTGATGCAGGAGGCAAGGAATATTGAAAATGCACCGTTTCTGAAAGGATCTAACTACTTTTTTTATTTCTACCCGTTTTATTCCGTGATGTGCAAAATTGCTAAGTCCAAAGTAGTCACAGAAAATTTGATAAACCAAAAAAATATGAATATTTTTTTTCGCTATCGAATTCGATTTGTATTGAGGGTTTTGTAACAATATTATTTTTGAATATTAATGTACATATGTATGTATGTATATTAGGCT